AATCATATCTTCTAGAAGATCATGGAAGATTTAAGTGGATCTAGAAGATCTTGGGAGATCTAAGTAGATCTTAAAGATCTTATGTGAATCATCATGGACCAATCAAATCGCATCCTACCATTCTAAAATTTGGTAGGGTGCTCTCTCCTATACCTATAAATAGGGGCTCTCCCTAATGTCAAAAACACACACCTCATAATTCATATTCAAGTTCAAGAGCTCTAGAGAATTCTCTCTACAAGTTTCAAGTGTTCTTGAAGATTCGAAGCCGTTCTTGAAGATTCGAAGGAAGATTCAAGCACATCAAGCTCAAAACCGACTTTTAATCCGGAAACAGGCTACCAAGCCTCCGAATTACGTTCGTATTTAAGTTCAAGTTCAAGATCTCTCGACAAGATTCAAGTGTTCTTGAAGATTCAAAGGCGTTCTTGAAGATTCAAAGCAAGATTCAAGCGCGTTCAACCTCAAGGCTGGCGTTCAATCCGGAAACAAGCTGCGAAGCCTCCGAATAATGTTAGTAAATTCAAAATCGGCGTGAAGAAGATTCGAAATCAACTTTGCGGTTAAGACCAAGATTCGTGTTCTTCGCGTTCTTGGGATATTTTGACGTTTGATCTTGGAAAAAGCTTTCAAACCCTTGGATTACGTTAATTCAAGTCAAATCAAGTCAAGGAGAAGATCAAGCCGAAGATTTCGCTCCAAGACTTAAATATTGTTTGTGAGAAGAATCAGAGGAGAAAATAGAGATTGTAACCCGTAATATATTATTTTGATTAAGAAATTCATTTGAATAATATTTTTCGTGTTTTTAAATTTCAATTCACGAAATTTGTTGTTACAAATTTTTGGCACGCCCAGTGGGACATCTCTACCTCTCATCTCTTCTCCAAAGTTCCTCAAGTCATCACGACTAGTCGCAAGATTGCCGTAGTCAAGATTCCTTCGACAAGTTTCTCAAGTTCCAACCTCGACGTCGTCACAAGAAGCATGGCCAGACAACTGCAAGCATCTTCGGAGACGGCTCCTCTGCACGAGGTGATTGAAAGTGATAAGCTGCATCTTACCCACGAAGGTGATGAAGACGACTCTGCTTCTTCAACTCCTCGTTCATCATCAAGTTCTTCATCAAGCTCAAGTGTCGCTCCGGCTATGACGACCAATGCTTTAACTCTTGAAGATCACATCGCAAGCTTAACGAAGGTTATTGAAGGGCTCGCGAAGAAAGTCGAAGAGCAAGACTCTCAAATCTCAAAGCTAATGGACAAGGTCGACAATGCTGAAACAAGCCACGCGAAGGGCAAACGAACTGAAGATAGTGAAGAGTCTGAAACGTCCAAGCAAGAGCAATATGAAGAAAGAGAGAAGACTCCATTCCAACACTCGTCCACGGGAATGATCCCCATTGATCAACTGAAGGATTTCATCATGGGAACAATTAAGGACAAACTTGATGGTGGTTCCAAGTCAAGCCACAGCTACGTCAAGCCATATTCACCAAGGATCGATAACTTGAGGATACCTGTTGGATATCGACCTCCTAAGTTCCAGCAGTTTGATGGCAAAGGCAACCCGAAGCAACATATAGCCCACTTTATTGAGACATGCAACGATGCGGGAACCCATGGTGATTATCTCGTGAAGCAGTTTGTTCGTTCACTCAAAGGGGTTGCATTTGACTGGTACACTGATTTAGAAGCAAACTCTATCGATAGCTGGGAGGAAATGGAGCACGAATTCCTTAGTTGCTTTTATAGCACGAGACGTACGGTCAGCATGATCGAGCTCACTACATCTCGACAATGGAAGGAAGAGCCAGTCATCGACTACATCAATAGGTGGAGGAACCTAAGTCTGAATTGCAAGGATCGTCTGTCTGAGGCTTCTGCCATTGAGATGTGCATTCAAGGTATGAGTTGGTTTCTTCGTTACATCCTTCAAGGTATTCAGCCGAAAACATTCGAAGAGTTAGCGACTCGAGCCAACGACATAGAGTTAAGCATGGCTGCAAGTGGAGCTAATGGACCACCAATCCAAGAACCCCAAGGTTCCAAGAATAGATACGAGCAA